CAGTGACATTTCGACAGTTTGGTGGGCTTTTTGTTTCATAAAAACAATTGTTACCACCTCTTAAATTCCATGAGAAATTCCATTGAAAAAGTGACAAATAGTCATTGTTGGAGTTTAAAATTGTCGTTGACAAAATTGTCGCCAGTCATATGGAATTTATATGTAAATCATGTGTAATATTGCATTTGCATTATTTTAGTTTTAAGAACTATTCAAATCATTGAAAAGTAATGAAATGCGCGCTGTTACCATATTAATAAATTTACAAAACTCTCCTGTGAAAGCTTTCCGACGCAGCTCTTTGGTTTTGTCGCCATTGTCGCGACAATTTTGTCAGAGTGACAATTGTCAGCACAATTGTCGACAATATTCCATATTATCACTGTCGTTTTCCAAAAATTTTCACACTTGCCTACAAATGTATCTGCAACGGGAAAAATATCGCCGACAATTCTGGCAGTGAAATTTTATAGAAAAATCGACAATTGTCGCACCTGTCACTTTTATGAAATAGGCCCCTGGTCTCTAAAGTGTAAAGAAGTGTTTCAAATGAGTTCTTTTCATAAAATGAAGCTATTGAAGGCCACCTTTTGGAACGTTCGCTTAACTCAGGGAGACAAACGCTGATTATTGTGCCTTGCAAAGGATGGATTGATGCTTCTGAAAAAAAATATACCGAAAGAAAGTGGCAAAAATTTTACGTACATATATTTACCATTGAAACTTTTTTACATTTTTTTTTTCATATTTTTACATGGCCTAGAATTTTTTTTTTTGCACTTTATAGATCATTAGCAACAAAAAAATACATGGAGATTTTGTTTTTGCCGGTTTAATGTGCCTTGGTCGAAACCAAAATAATAAGGGCGTAATTTAACTGAGAACTGAGGCAACGAACTATTAATTTGGAGTGCGTATTTACTTATATTCGGTGCGAACTCCTTAGCATACAATGATGCTCAGTGCATTAAAATGGGACTAAGCTTAAGCTTAGATACATTTCCTTAACTTACCCGTACCTAATATGTTTATTCACATGTGAACTTTGCTAGTTCATGCATATACTGACACACATACATACATACATATGTACGCACGCATCTGTATATTAACGTGAGTGTTTTTGGCTTGCAGCGCAGTCGTCTGCCTTGATGCGTGTTATTGTTTTTCCGCCTCGCAGCATGAAACTTCGACCTACTACACTTAACTCACATACATACATGTACATATGTGTGAGCGTGGCGCTTTGGGAATGCGGAAAAGGAAAAAACAACAGACGCCCCTGCCTACCCCCACACACACAGGCATACACTAAAATTTTTCTTTTACGAATGCTCCGCTCAGTGCTGCATATACGCGCACGAATTCTAAGTATATGCAAATTAGTTACGTCTCGCAGGATTCACCTAGCAATCTGAGACCTAGACAATTTTACAAACGTATTGTAAATATATGTATGTTGTGTGCATGCACAGAGTCACGCGAAAATATTTAGTAAGAAAACAATTCCAGGAGGAAATATGAATAGCTGAACGAAATTAAAATGTCATCAAGTGTCAACATTCCGTAAGCATCTATGCTTCCCTTTTTCTAAATATGTATGTATAATGTTTATTTACTCGCAACTCTAATAACAAGAGATTTCGGATTGAAAAACGTGCTATATAAAATAAATATTTAGGGACTTTTAGTAATCATTAATCATTATTTTCATCTTTCTTAAGTTTGCAAATCTTCTTTAGCAGCAACCTCTAGGCCTCTTCAAATAGCAGAAGCTCGGGAAAAAGTACTTATAAATATATATGTATATGTATACGCATTCATTTGGGATGAGCTGTGTATAAATACATACACACAATAGAACATGCACACAAATGTCTCGAAGGATATGCAAATCAGTTAGTTATTACATATTTATCAAGTTATTTCGTGTTTGTAGAGCAATTTTGGATATCTTATGCGCATATTTACACAGACTCTAGTTGAGAAAATTTACACTTTTGTGTAGTTGTTTTACGGTAAGTGGCATTAAAATTTGTACGGCAATTGTTTCATTATTTTTTTTAAGTTTGTTTTATTTAAATGATATTGGTTTTTAATAAACATCCCAACAAGCAAAATAAACTTAAAGAAAGTTTTTTTTAAGTTTTCAATTATAAACATTAAGCTTACAAAACGTTGATTTTTTGTTTATAAAACGCTTGAAAGTAAGCGTAATATAATCGAAAAGGAACATTGGTTATAAGCGTAGAAATATAAACTTGTAATAAATGTTCAAAAGAAAGCTTTTTATAAGCGTAAAAGTGTAAACTTATAATAAAGGTTCAAAAAAAGTTTTTTATAAGCGTATGAATATAAACTTACTAAAAATTTTCAAAAAAAAAGCTTTTTATAAACATTTTTATAACCCTTTATTTAAAGATATTTCATTAAAAACTCATACATAGATTGCTTAACATCTAGAAACTAAACGAAATGCGAATTTTCGGCGGACTCATCTACAGTCGCGAAAATATAAATAGGGAATAGACATTTTAGCATACAAATTCACAATAACACATACAAATTATGCATAAAAAGTTAATTATTACATCTTGTTGCGTGCTTTCAATTACTTGCGGTTATTGGCAAATTGGAAAAGCGACATCGATGCAGCTATATATTCCGCTTCATCGCCGCCATTCTCATTGATGAACTTTTCTGAAAAAAATTTTATACATTTTTAATTGAATGTTAAACTAAGAAAGGATAAGGGGAACTCATCATTTTAAGACTCGAATGCTCCACCGATTAGCGCAGCGGGTCCTGGATTGGACTTTTTTTTTACCACATCGGTTTTATTTAATTTTTTTTTCTTTTAATAATATATTTTAAAAAACGTAAACACGTCACTTACGATTGAAAAAATTTTATATTTACTACTTCATGTCGTTGGCATTTACATTTCATTTATAAGTTTAAGTTATTTATAAACATTTGCTCTCAAAACTTATTAAAGGTTTATTTGAAAAAACTTTTAATAAGCTTAATATTAAAAACGCTTATTTAACGCTTATTATAGCAAACTTAATTTAAGTTATTTTTAAAAACGTTTACTGAAATGCTTGTTGGGATATAGTTCACACTACAACAAAATCTATAAAACTCAAAGTTCTGACTTTGTATCAATTAAAAAAAAAATGATCGTAAAGTTGTCATAAAAATGTCACACTTTTTATTATTTTTATAATTTTTTTGGGTATGCAGTTTTAAAGCCCATTCAATTTTAACATAAAAAAATGTAAGTTTGAAGTCGCTGCAAAATATTGTTGATTTTTGACACTATTTTTCGCTTGTTTAAATTCGGAAACTGCATTTTTAAAGAAAGTTTAGGAAAGTGTGTTTATGTATTGGAAAGTGGAAGCTTAGAAATGGGATGAATAAGAAAAACATAAATTGATGTACATATGTTTACGCCTATTTGTATCCAAAAATTTTCAATATGCAAAGTTCGTTTTCATGTATGCACTATTTCGGTTTTTCTCATATGCATTATTTCGTATGCACAGTTTCCATATGCACAATTTCAGGGTGCCGTGTGAAGTGCATTTGCCATCATTAACAGATGTAAACTGATTGTTTGAGAATTTTTAAGTTAGAAATAAAAACGTTTGAATAATTGGAGAAAGACATATGGAAGTATTTATTAACATTTAAGAAAATCTTGTTGTAGTGCCACCAGCTGAAAAGATTATCCATTATTTTGCCTCCCTTCATACCAGCTTTTATTCCAGAGAAACTCTCCTCAATTCCAGATATTTTAAAACTTATTTTGAGCCTATCAATTTGAATTGCATTTCTCTTTAGTGTGATTTAATAGATAAAATTATGGAGATCAAAATGGGCGAAAGCACAGTAACTCGCACAAAATATTATATTAGAAAGCAATACGATTTCTCTGCTGTAATACTAAAAAAATAATTCCAACACAATACATATGTACTACCAGAAGTGTGAAAAATAAATCACAGAGGACAGTTACCCTTAATTTGCAGTATGTCAAATGTTTTCTTTATTTTTCCTTTTATATAGATACATCACTAACTTTTACCACGCTTGCATCAGTTGCAATTGCGATTGAATTTTTATATGTTCTTTTTCTTCATACACTTCTTGCTAATAACATTTTCAATTGTTCCATCAACACAACATACATACATACTGTAATTGTAATTTTGTTGCAATTGCCATTCGTGTAGCGTAACGAACCGTAAATGATGGTAATGGCGCTAAGTGCCGCTGTGCCACCAGCTGCTACTTTCGGCCGAAACTGCAATTTAGCGAATGTTGACAGCTTCAGCCATTGCAGTCAATTGCTTTGATGTTGTGCCCGTTGTTGGCCGTAATTGTTTTTGTCTTTTGTTTTTGTTTGCTATTTCATTGCGTTGCTATACCACATGTGGTACATATTTGCTCAATCCGCCAACAGCACCAGCAGCATCTGCGCGCTACGTATATGTATGTATGTTTATAATTATTACTAATATGACACGCAGTAAAAGTGAATGCCACACAAGATAGTTGTTGTTATGTTGCATAACAATAGAAACAAAGCAATTTACTTTATTGCTTGTTAATTAACCAATTATTGCTATATTGCATTCAACGTGATCAAATTGCCACTTCAAATGAAGTTGCGTATACGCCGTGGGATGTCCAGTGGGTTGTGCTAACCAGAGATCTAACCGGTTTTCTTTTATATATTTCAACCGCTTTTTTCTACTAATCAACTGATACATTAATCGAACCGAAATTTTCCACAAACAGTTCAAACCGCTGAACCGAAGTGACCGGTATACGTTCCTGGTTTGAACATTTCAAACGAAAATTTAAATAAAAATAACGTGTGCATTTATTTCATAAAATATATAAATACATATTTAAGCATTAAAGAGTTTTTTAAGTTCATAAATATATAACAATTCGAACTAAAATATAAATTCCGCACAAGTCGATGTATTTTATTTTTCTTGCTTGTCTTCATCGTCCCTCTCATTCTTTGTCTCAATATTTGATGCTGCATTGCTACGGATTGCACTACCGCTACTCTTGATACTTAGTGTATCTGGGCGATGGGCGCTCTGCTGCTGCTCCAGATTTTGTGGAGACACCGAAAGAGTTGGTGGGGTGGTTAAATTCAAACCCGAAGCGATCAATGCAGGCAACTGCTCGGCCGTGGCGCTGGTCGCAGTATAAACATTTTGCATAATACGTTGCCGTTGACGCTCCAAGCGCTGGCGCTCACGCTCCTCACGCAGCAAATCAAAATCATCTTTCTTCCCTTCACCCTCTGGCTGTTCGTGCGCGTAGGTGATTGATTTTGCATTACTTGAAAGTGAGCGCGCCTGATCAACTGGTAGTTGGGAGCTTTTCGATTCTACTACAGCCGTGCGGTCAGACGTGTGTGCTAGACGTGCGGCAGCAGAATATATATTTGTGACTACAAGCCTTTCGTGAAAGGATGTTGAAAGTTGATTTTTTTGCTCGCCAGATGTACCTGAGCTGCTGGAAGGACGTAAACGACTGACAGTGGTTTCTGTATCTTCTTTGCTAACTAGACGTTTCAGTGCAGAGTTGAAGCGCGAAATGCTGCTGTGCAGACTAGAATTGGTGGCCATATTATCGCGCCGCTTCCATACAAAGTGAGCTGCACCATCCGACTGCAATACAGTGTAAAGATTGAATAAATTGTTTACTTACGAATTGCGCTAATTTTTATTTCCTTCTCTTTATTAGAGCAGAATATAAATCTCTGAATGCCACTGTTTGTAGCCAGGTATTATCCTTTCAACATCGGCATCGACTCAATATACTACATATGCATGGTTACCAAAAATCCCATTTACAGGATTATCAAGGTAAACGAATATTTCTGGCGTTGTTACTTAAATGCTTATGAAACCTAGATGCTGCGACCCGACCGCAGGCTCTCAATGCAGTCTGAACATCGTGTGTAAACCATTCGCTAACCGACCCGTGTGGGTCCTCAATCACGGACGACAGAGATGGAGTTTAAGCGGCGCCGCTCCAACTTCTTTTCAGTAGAAGCCTTTGTGTGTAGGTGAAATAGGACGCCTGTGTCTCGAGATCTCTAATCTGATGGCTGCATAAATATATATCTCTTCAAAACCATTCCGGTTACAGGCTATGTCGCCGGCTTGGGACGTATTTCAGAGCTGCTTATGATTGCGGCGGAAAAGCAAAACTATATAGATACCTATGGTATGCTACCAATATCGTTTACAGGTGTGCTTATGGTTACTGCTAGATTGTGGCTCCACTAACTAGGCCTTTATACAAATCTACCATAGATCAAATGTTCACGACGCAAATACATTGCACACGTTGGAAAAAGTGTCCAAAACCGGAACTGCATTTTTCCACTGTTTTTGGGAAGCTACGTAGGATATTCAACTAACATGGCGGCGAAGCGGACCAAGCCCATGGGGTCGCTAACGACTAAATCGATTTGCGTTCAGGAGTGCCAAAGATTCCTACAATTGCAAAGAGTAAATTTTTACCAACTCCCAAGCCATATTTTTAATACGGAGAAATTGTTCTAGGACCCTTTCTTCCTGACCTTAAGACAGCTTAGGGGAAACCCCATAGGATTGGAAAGAAAACCTGCATGCTATAAGGACATGTGGGGGTAGGTATGGGTACATTTTTTTGGAATCACAATGGGCATGTTTGGCCTCCAAATGTATTATTATATAAGAGCTTCCCAACCTAACCCACCCCAATTTTGGAAACTAAACTTGGACCCCAAGAAAAGAATAATTTTAATAGTGGTATTTTCGACGATATTTAACACATGACCCTGCTGCGGCTGGACCATTGCAGCCCATTCACAGATACATTTATCAGAATCCTTATCATAACATAAAAAAATTTGGAGATTCGACGTTGACTGCAGGTTGTAAATAAAGCTTTTCTGTCATTTGAGGTTTCACGGACCAAATATCGCATCCATGCTAAGCGGCGCTCTGCTCAAATTCACAAATTTATACAAAAAGTTTCATAATAACATTAACTCTGTCTGCGAGCGCAATGCTCAACTTTAGGTGCTCAGACAAAGCGTTACTTTTCAGCAGCGACTGCGGATATATTTTAGTAAGGCCCGACATATAAATAATCACGTCTAGGTATACACTACCGTCTGACATGTTTTCTGTTACCTTTCCGACACCTGCGAAATCAGTTGTAGCTTTATGAAAATTATCCGGATACGGCAGCCCCTCCGGCAATACTTCATCCCAATACTGATCTTTCACTAATTCCGGATGTTCGTGATGCATTTCATCGACAATGAAGTAGGAAACTTGTAAATTTCGATCAATCATCCAATTTACCTAAAATGGTACGAAAAAAAAAATCAGATTAATGCAATTCCCAAAATTTTCATATCCACCTCAAAATCATCATCATCATCACCAAATGGATTCATGAGTGATTCCGCCACTTTCAGCCAACCCATGTAAAAGAAGAATTGCAGCGTTGTAAAAATGGGCACATAATAGTCTACCCAATGGAAGTGACCATCAGCATCGGCGACCTTCGGTACCCACTGTTGACCGATTAATGCCGCCAAGAAGTATGAGTACACAGCCAGTGTTACCACTTGTGTATAAACCAATGGTATTGGCACCGAATCAAAGTGTAGTATAATGGCACACTTATTGCGAAATCCATCCAGTTGATCGAAAATAGTCTTGAGTGCAACATCATCGCGTATGCGTCCCTCCTTGCGTGCTCGCGACACAATACTGGCGGCCCACACGAGCGGCACCCAGTGCTTGCGATGCTTCGGTGATTTTTCATCCATAGCGATTAATACATCCTTCTCATTGTCCGTCAGCAGACCGGCATCCACTAGTGACTGCATTGTTGGAAAACGTTTCTTTACACTTGGCGCCACCATTGTAAAGATCATGGTGAGACAGAGACAGACATAGCGCATTACGGTGCGACGCATTATGCGACCACGTTCATCTTGGCCCACAAAGAGTGTGCTCACATAAACGGCGAGGGGATCGGGCCACGGAACGGTGATGTATTGAGTCCACCAGCGTTGCATGACGACAGCTATATAAAAGCCGAGCACAAACGAGAGCGGAATGAGCGTACTCGAGCTGTGGCAGTAGTGGACGAGGAGCTGAAAGATGCTGAAAATTTAATATTATTTCGGTATTCCTATATTTCTCGTTTTATATTTATGTATGTCATTATGTAGTTCTCGTTTTACCGTTGTTGTTCTGGTCCCATCACAAAACGATATACTATGCCGAAGGAATAATAGATTACCAAGAACACAGCTAAATCGATCCAAATAATTTTATAAATGCTGCCCCGCCATCGTGCCAAGAGCTTAAGGAAGCAATTAAAATTACTAGTGGCCACTTGAGCTTGATAGGATACCGTCATTTATGCTGATATTTAATTCCTAGTATTTCATTCAATTATTTACGTAATTGAAAGTTCTTCTTTTCATTATTTCTCTTTGACAGTAAAATTTTCTATGGAAAGATCATATGCTGCGGAATTCACTTCAATTATCGATTATTCTGGAGAAATCCAAATGAGTGGATTATAAAAATTTTCATATTAAAAAATTCGAGAAATTTATAATGCAGCCTTTGTGCCTGAGTGGTTAGATGTGCGTGCTACCTTTCGACCTTGGTTCAATCCCTGGTCCGGCCTCCGAGTGTATTTCTGCCACGAAAAAGCTTCTCATAAAAACTATTTGCCGTTCCGAAGCGGCGTAAAACTGTAGGTACCTCCTGGTGCAGGTAAGGTCTGTGATAAATGCCACCTCACCGACAAGCTTTACTAGTATGTCCGTTTGCCACTGCACCTCTCGCCAAAAAGTCAGCAAGACAATGATGCATTTATACCCAAGCACTGAATTTATACTTTGCCAGCCCTTTCTACGTTCAATTTTTATTTTTTATTTCAATACTCGCCACAAATTTGCGTAATTTCTAATTTACCACCGATTTGCAATGTTGCCATTCGCACTAATATAAACACTTACAAATTTGTCCTTGCGCCACAAATTAGCATGATACTACTCAACTGTAGTTAGAAAGAAACCCAGTTTGATAGTCGCTGACAAGTTCCCTTTCAAATGCCCTTTAAAATTTGCATAAGACTAGCGCGCACACAAACACACACACACCAAAATATGCATACACACACAAACACGTAGCCCCAATCCGTTAGTTGTCACATTTTACAGCCGCATTGCGGACGTTATAACTGCGTCTTGCTGCGACGACTTCTTAAAAGTGTCCCGTTCGTAGCCAGCAATGGACATTTAAAATGTTTCTTTTGTTTTACTTTTGTGTAAAACCATTGCATTGAAGTTATGCAAACAAGTAGGTAATTTCTTTCGTCACATTTTACGATTTTCCAGCATCATCACTTTATGCGATTTTTAGGCAACATTTCCATTTCTATTTCACTGTGTCAACACAAAATTTTATGTAAAGTAAATTTTATGCTGATAGTTTTCATACTATTTTATTAGCATACGCCAGCGTGTATATGTGTGCGTTCATGTATGAATATACTAATCCTTTAGCGCAATCCCTTGGGTAATCATAAAATTTTGGTTGTTAAATTTAGGTCACACTGACCACAAAGCGCACATTCAGGCGGAAAGCGTTGTCTGACACACACACAAACATAACCTATTTAGATGTATGTACATGCAATAGTATAAGCGCCTGCAAATAAAAGCTTTCAATGCTATAAATGTCATTTTTATGTTATACTAACGAACTTTTACTTTTATTGATATTGTTTTACATGCATTCATTAGCATATCTGCTAATATAATAAATCTGTGAGAAATGGGACGACATCTTTTACACGAACACAAAACATTATACATACACTTTAAATATAGTATGCACATTAGGGCGGGTCAATTTGTACGGGAGATTTTTTCGACAATGGCGTATAGCAGAGAAGAATTCTACATGTAATTCTAAGTGAATTTTTCGCAGAAACCATGGGCCTAAAATCAACTTGGAGTTCGCTAAATTGCGAAAATAGGTTTCTTAGGATTTACTGTATTGTCGTATAGAATTGCTTAGATTTTGTATAAGAACATGCTGTAAGGGTATTTCTGATATCAGCAATCCATTTCTGCACTTATCCTTTTCTTAAAACTTCCACCAGAGATGGCAACAGTGCAAATTTTCACATTTTATTCGAAATTTATTTTCGCAATTTGGCAAACTGCAAGTTGATTTTAGACCCACGGTTTCTTCGACAAATTTCCTAAGAATGACACGTAGAATTCTCCTATGCTATAAGCGCATACTCAAAAAAAAAAATAAATTGGCCTGCTCTAATGTACATAAATATTTATATGTGTGTGGGTGCCTACTTATGTTTTGTAGCTTTTTGTTTAAAATGTGTTTTTACGTTTTTTGAATTTTATAAGCGCCAAATATAAAAAAAAAACTAATTTTTACAAATCTGCAAGAAAAAAATACTCAAGGTCACAGGTCACATAAAATGCTTTTTGCAATTCTAAGCCGAATGAGGAGTTTGCAAAACAAATAATTTTTAAACAAAAAAAAAACGACGTCAATTCTCATATAAAAAGTTAAGAGCACCGTAAATTTTTTCATGCTCCAATGATCGGATCTAAACGAAATTAGTATGGGGACCACCTCTGAGGTACTACTGTAACTACTCTTGTAATTTAAAAACATAATTCTTTAATTGTATTTTGTTCACACCTCAACGAATTGCTAAAAATTTTCATTCGATGTTTTTCTTTTGGAAATAAAACCGCGTTAATTTAGAATTTATATATATTAAATAAAATAATACTATTTATTTTAAACCAACTTCGGTCTTAACAGGTACCACCTTTCCGTAAAAAAAAAATTATTATAGAAACCGGTTAACGTGGCCCAAAGTTATGGGGTAATATACATAAAAAAAATCCGACGAATTGCTAACCTCCTCCATTTTTTGAAATCGGTAAAACAAAAATAGTTTACACCAAGGCATATCAAACATTTAAGTGTATTTTGTTGTTACTTCTGGTATCTAAAGAGTCAAAAACTATTAAGATTTTTTCTTGTAAATCAAAGTGAGATACAAAATGAAAATGAGGCACTTGAACATCACTTCCTCTGTAAAATATAAGAAATTAGAATAGTTTTTGGGATATAGCCAAATCTATTTTTTTAGATGTGAAAAAGATTCACTAACTTAATTGCTTATTTTTTCAATAGTGAAGCTTAATAAATTTGCCGTTATCTGTGCAAACGATATTTGCAAACCAGATTAGTAGTTTGGGAGCTAGTCATTAATTTATTCAAAATTTTGCATAATTAAAAATATTTAAAAAAGTTAAATTTACTTTCGATACAAATATCAACATGAAGGAACTTATTTACTTTCGGATTCTCGGAGGTCAAAGAAGGTTATTATATAAATACAACAAGACCACGGTTATCTAAATTGTTATTAAGTAAAGATGACGGCCTGGTAAGAGGTGCGTATTACCACTCCGTAGGAGCAGGAACCTACGACGGAAAATATGTTATCAACGATACGGCGAATAATTTGCGAATTTTAGAAGGAGAGGAACTCAGTACTGCATCTGGAAATCTGAAAGAAGTTCAAAATGATATAAGCAGCCGGATTCCAACATTTTCTATCGCTAATTGTGATCGCCAAAAATCTCCAAAAGATTAGCAGGCGCTCCTAACAACACGCAACATCTAGTTAGTTACATTCCCCATACTGTGAGATTTCGCTGATTACACATTGCATGTGTTACTTTTCCATGTTGTATACTTTTAGGCCCCACTGCTTTTCATTTAGAGAATTTTAGCGACAAACATTTTCCGTAGCGATTGTCAGAACACTATAAAAGTATTTACTATCATGTCAAAAAATAAATTATAGCAGTAAAGATATCGTTTAAAAGGAGTAAGAAGTTCCCTAACTTTATTTAATTTAACTTCTTGTGTGCCACCAACTATTACTTTAGTAAGTTTTGTTATGTGGTACTTGAGATTATATGAAATTTTTGCGCATGCAGCTTTGCATATATTTGTATATTAATTGGAAGTGTAGCATACCTTTAGGCAATAAGTGTTGTTGTTACAACCCAATTTAACAAAAACGAGGTGAGAAGCATTAACATACGTACAACCATAGATTAATTGACACCATCTACTTTTCATGTCAAAGAATACCTCATAGGTTGTTCAGTCTTCCTAGCTTTTAAAATCTAAATTAGAAAAGATATCTACATGAAAATGTGCTCCTAATCATACAATTTCTTTACTAATAATTTAAGAACAGAATAATTTCCAAACCATGCCATTATTTACTACCTTCAAGTTATTGCATGACCTTCTAACTTTCTTACAAATCGAAATGTTTACAAAGATATGTATTTGTAGCGAAGCAACAACAAGGAAATTTCAAAATTGCCGCACTAGCAGCAAGAACATGTCGATCTTGAGTCTGAATCGTATCGGATACTTTGTTGCCCCGCAGCAACTTAGCTTTTATTTGCCAACTTGAAATCTGCTACTTTTGAGCGTCATCCGGTTGTCTGTGCTATGTCAATATACCCTCACGCAAACCGACACTGGAATCACCACATTTTCAAGAATTCGCTTTCATTTGTGTGGGACGGACGACCCGGAGGCTAATAACAGTAATTGACAGTGATGCCAATTTGAACTTTACAACAAACATCCCACGCAGACAATTACTAAATACATACACACATACACACATATTCTTACAAATATTTGGAGGCAAATTACATAGTACATACATACAGACATACATATTTTTCATTTGTTCGCCACTCTTCCTCCAAACTTCCCACTTTTGTTTAACAACTGTCAGCGCTGACAGCAAATTTGGCCCAAAAACTGTAACAAGTTGAAACTCATTTTCTTTTGAGAAGCGACAATTGTCTTGAAGCACAAACTAAACTGACAACGAAGCGGACAATAATTGCGACAAAGACAATGGCGTAGCGTTGGCGGCGATAACGGTCGCAAAAGCAGCCAAAATGTTGCGGAGCGCTGGTGCGAAACTTTTGTGCTTTTCCTCCTCTAATTGCTTGACAAAATGAATTTGCATATTAATACCTTAGCGATGGAGTAGAGCAAGCTGGTATAAATTTTTTAGTGGAATTGTAAAAAATTAGAAAGAGTTACTTTTGCAATAGTGAAGGCGGACTAACTGATTCGATGTAGAGTCGCTTTGCTCTATGAAAATATTATTAATACTCATTTGCTATGAATGCTTAAAATATCTAATCTGTCGTTGGTTTGTATTTGACATTTAAGTTTAATTGCCTATTGTTTAATTCAGCCTATTCGTCGGCTGGCCGTTGGCATTGTTTAAAAAGCGATGCTAAAATAACT